GCAAACGAAACGTCAGACGACTCAAAGTTGTAAAAAATATCGGTTAAAAAACGATCAAACCTCCGTATGAGGTATGCAAATCGTCAGATGGCTAAGCCTCAGCTAAAGGGCTGTCATACGTCATAAAATTTATTGAAATTTACACTACACATATTTTATTTGATAACTCACTTGACATTTCTCGATAGCTCAGTTAGTTCAGTATTCAACATGCAGTCAAATTTGTATTTTGCGACCGTGGTTCAATTCCAGATGAAAGATTTTTTTTAATTTTGGAAAAATATTAAGTAGGCTTTGGAAAAATCACGCCTGTTGGAGGGTACAATATTCTTCATTTTTAATTAGGCTGAATTTAATTCAAAGCCATTACAGTTATATCTGTGTCGATCATGGTCTACTTTAAAACAATTTTAGAATGTTAAGAAGTAAAATTTATCGCTTTGCTTGCACATTTTTGTATTTTATTATTATAACTTTTCTAAATAATCTGAAAGAGGCACTTTTCTGATTTGAACGTTTATAAAACTATTCTATTCAGTAGATCAAATTTAAAAATTATTCTGAATCGGATTTGAAAACGAATTTTTCGCTAGCTTAGCCTGTTTATCCATAAAACATTATTTATTTTTTTATACATTATTATTTTGTACATATGCACACGAAAATATACATACAGTAAAATTATTATTCAACTCAAAAACGGAACATTAACATAAATTCTTTGATTCTTATTATTCAAAATATCAAAAAAGGTTATTACATTTAAAAAATGTGATTATATTTTTTTAATCTTTAATATTCTAATATTTGTCTTTTTTTTGTAATCATATCTATATTTTTATGAAATGTTAAATAGATCTACAGTAGTAAAGATTATTTTAAAGGTGGCTTACAATGAAAATATAGGGCTTGGCCTTTTTTGTATTTTTTTTTTTTAACTAACAACATTGTTATGCAATTAATATTTTTTTATTATAAAGCATATAAAATTACTTAGGATCTCCCAAATCAATGATATTTTTTATTACAAGAACAATACTATGATTTGCATGCTTTGTATTAAAAAAGTTTTATACGACCTGTTGATCATACTCTACGAGTTAAATAATTTAGTTGTCAATCAAATGTTTCCACGTAGTTGATAATTTCGCCCGACAGATGTCTTGGTCCCTTTTAGTGATTATAATTGATAAAGCCTAATATTAATTATTATACTGAGACAACTAGAAAAATATATACTTTTTAAAATAATAGAAATATGAATTCTTTATTATATTATAGTAAAAATAAAAAAAAACTTACCATAGATCTATTTAGCACCCCATTCCAGTACCAATCGGTAGGCATTAAATGGACATTTCTATACACCTGTCTATAACTAGTATATTTTGATTATGTACTGTTTTAACAAAATATGTTTTTCTTCTGTATTATTAAAATATTGATTAAAAGAATCGAGTATATAAGTACGATAAAACATGTACAATTACTTTAGTCAAAATGATGAATTAGAATAATTATTTTTGTCAAAAAATATACAGTGTGGATAACTATTTAAAGAATAAAATTTCGCTTGACTTTTTTCTAATTTAAAAAATACTTGACAAGTCAATTTTTATTTTGAAAAGATTCATCAATGATAGTAATAAACCTATTTGATATGGTCGTTCATAAAAGCGAAATTTTAGCTCTAGCTTATTCAAAAGTAGATTTTTTACAAATCTGTTTAATATTTTTGTTTCCGCACAGTTGCAGTATTTGACATAAGAACAATAATAATTGCTTTCTAAATAATTTGACTAGTTTACTGACTTTTTAAAGATTTACTAACCATCTGTTTAGAACAAACTTTTAATTTAATTTAAATATTTAATAAAATTAATAATAATAGGCGTCCCTTCCCTGTACAAGCTCTGCTTTCGGGGTTAAAATTCACTAGTAAGGGGGTGAATTAGGGAGAGTATTATTATTATTATTTTATTTAGAAAGCACTACATAATGTTTCTTTTCGTGCAGAGTTAAAATTTAAAAAAAAATTGAGGGACATAACAAACACTTTAAAAAAATTTATGGCCGAAACCCATCTCTTTGTTTCTCATGTGTATGTATGTGTCTTTTACATATACTATATACAGGTTGTTTCATAATGTAGGTCTTTGAAGGAGTAAATGAGGGTTGAGGGGTTAATAAGTTCCTTCCCTTTTTTAATAGCTAATTTTTTGAAAAACAAAATTTAAATTGATTTTTCATTTAATTTTGCATTAAACTCTTAGCAAATGTCCAAAAATCGAAGAGTTTTGTCAGAATTTGTGTTTTATTTTAACCAAGTCGTCGGCAAATAAACTGTGCGCCCGACGAAAGAATATATATGCCTGCTAATTTATCACCAGTAGAAAAACTTGAAAATTTGCTCGTATATTATCAGCCCTCCATTCGGACTATAAAATAAGATTTCAAGATATTTTGGACGTACCCGGATGGTTTTTAGACCCTTTTCGACTAAAATGGAATATAGTTGTCCAATAATCTTCAAAAACTAATGCCTCTGATTTAACCTGGGTTACGGAACATCGTTTCTAATTGCAATTGTTTTTAGCAAAAATCTAACCTAATATTAACAAATTGGTAGAGGAACATCAAGTTCATAATTTTCATTAAAATTGGTGCTGATAATTATTTTAATACTTTTATTTTTTATATTTTATTTTGTTTTTAATTTATGTCGATACATATTTATTTGCTATCTCCGATAATGTTACCTTTATTATAATCTTCACACAACAGTCTGTGAAGAGTATTTATTATATGTTTACTTTCAAGAATCCAAAATTTTTAATATTGGTCCAAATGTTTGTACCAAAATCCTTCTCATCAAATTTTAAACAACTTTTTGAAATGTTCGTCCGTCCGATGTCACGTTAAGTCAAGTCCAGTCTCGTCAAGTTAAAAACGAAAAATGATATCAACTTCCTATTGATTAAAAAAAAAAATCTGAATAAAAATGGGGGGTTAAGGAGGGTTGAAATATAAAAAAAAATCATAACTTAAAAACGAAAACTAATATCAAGTTGAGATTTTTAGCAAAAAATCAAGTTCTATGAGGGGAAAAAGTCCTATGGTTAAAAATGGGTGGTTTAAGGGGGCTTAAAATCAAAAACGAAAAGCGATATTAACATGAATTTTTTAGTAAAAATCTAGCTATATACCTAGAGATAAAACCTAAGGATTAAAAAAAAAACGAATTAAAATAGAGGTTAATGAGGGTTGAAATATTTAACAAAATCCTAACTCAAAAACCAAAAATATTATCAACTTGAAATTTTTAGCAAAAATTAAGTTCTATAAGGGGACAAAGTCTAATGATTTAAAAATATCTGAATAAAATCAGGGGTATAGGTGAGTTTCAATAAAAAAATAGAAATGAAAGGCCAAAAGCGATATAAAAAAAAAAAAAAAAACGATATCAAATTGAAATCCAATCTTTATAAGCGATATTGAAAATGGGAGTTAAGGGGGAAGGGGGTCTGTTAAACTGTGTAGAGTATAATATAGAATGCAAAGCATCATATATATATATATATATATATATATATATATATATATATATATATATATATATATATATATATATATATATATATATATATATACACCTAATTATATTTTAAAGATTGGATATGGGTATAATTTATTATTACGACCTGTGTTTTGAATCTAACTCCTTGTGAAAGTATTTTTTGTAGGAGTTTTAATTTTCCAGAACGCGTGACATTGAAATTGTTCCAAAAATTTTCCTGCGGCCCCAATATTTTTGATCCGTGCCAAGAGGAACAATTCCCATTTCCTAAAAGTGGATGTAGGTTAAAATAGTTTAGGAGTCACCGTTCTAAAATATTGCCGTTATTTTCGTTTTTCTTTTAATGTTTTTTCTTAATAAATAATTATTCTTTCTCGAATTTGACTAACTTTAAAGATATTAAATTGAGACAACTAGAAAAATCTTGAAATTAAAACGCAAATTCTGATTAAACGGTTCGTTTTTTGGACATTTGCTAAGAGTACCTTTTTAATATAAAATTAATTGAAAAACCATAATTTCAATTTTGTTTTTCAAAAAAATAGCTAATAGAATAAAGGGGAGGAAATAATTATTTATTTATTCCGTCAAAAAGAAATTTTTAAAAGGACGACTTAAATGAGGGTCTTTATGAAACACCTTGTATAGTATAGTTTTTTAAATTTCGTTAAAAAAAGTACCTTTTTTATTCCAGAACTAGTTCCCACTGTATTAAAATCTTTTAGTATTAAATTTTATTTTTATAGAAACATTCATTAACACCATTTTTATTTACTATATAAAATATTTCACCACTGGTAACGAAATAATGGTGACGAAGGCACGACTTTTAAACCGTAACAGAGGCGGCCGTTTACAAATTCGTTATAACGGTTCCGAAATAACAGAAACGAATCTCTCAAAAAAATATAAATAAATAAAAAGCATAATTTAAACGAATAAATAGAATAGAGAATTCACTTTGGTAAACTTTCATTGGTAGTAACAAATTTTAATCAACAATAACGACAACGAGAAGTTTTAAGTTAGTTCGCATTTTGTTTCGTTTTTCGTTTCGAAAATAAAAATGTCGGACGGTATTCGAGAAGACACTTTCAAGTTTCAGCTGCACCATTAACACAAGATAAGCGATAGTTGATTATTCCCCTAACCCCCAAAAAAAGAAGCACTTAGTAATCACCGCACTGCGCACTTATTTTTCGCCCAAAACCAAAAATATGATGAAATGTATGTTCCACGACACTTCAAAATCGAAAATAAATTAAAAAAAAAAAACACAAAATCATCGAGGCACTAGCATTATTAAAGGCATTTTGACACATTAGTGACACTTTAGTCGGGAACAAGTCGGCGAAAAAAATTCGAAGAAAAACAAAAAAAAAAGATTAGTACGTTTGTTTCACACGAATAGAATTTTAAGAACCTCATCGTATTTTTTGTCGGCTTCTTCTGCCAAGAAACGGGCCTCTTTGAGTTGATTTTCCAGAGCGTCCATACGCTCCTCATCGGCCAGGGAACGATTTTCTAATACCTTCCGTTGCCTAAAGTCAATTCATGTTCAATATACACAGAAAAAAAAGTGGGTAAAATAAAATTTGGTTATCCAAAGAACTTGTGTACGTTTGGATTTCGAAATTCGATTTTTGACAGTTTGGCACATTGATAATATCGATTATGTGTATAAAATATTATCGTAATAGCTGGTTAAAATATTACTAAAAACCTAAAATTATTAAAACATTTAGCATTTATAAGATGCAACGATTGGATTAATAGATTCTTTTTATTATAAATATGTCAGGGAGTAGTGATCAACCCGGTTATCAAAAATAAATCCAGTGCATCAACATTTTATCGATACAAATTCCACCGACAGCACACAAGTTCATAGGACAAATTACAGACAAATTAAAGATGAAAATATTCGTAATTGGTAATTAACAGAAGTTGGATAAGATATGAGATTTTTTTCTCGATGCAATAGTTGTAAAACAATTATTATGTAATTGGAATTTTGACCTCTCAACCATCTGGTAATAATTGTTCGATATGCCCAAATCGGGACAATACTAGTTATCGGCCAAGGTAAATTTCAATGTTTTCATTTTATATAACACCGAACAATCGTTTTTTTTAAATATTTAACATTTTCATCTTTAGTTTTTATATTAAATTATACCAAAATAACTAAAAATAAGAAAAAAATATTTAAAAAACTTCTGGATCACTGGAATCTGCAACTGCTCTATGGAATAAAAAATATTCTACAAAGTAATATACAGCTAGAACTAAATATACATAGTGCGATTTTGCCAAATATAATTACAATATTATCATATTTTGAGTATCTTATGTCTACATATACTAGAAAATTTAATGATACTATGTAAATATACATTATTGGTGTAACGGTTAATTAATTTTACGATTTATCGTAATTAGAAATTTGACAACACCGCTAATTAAACTAGACCTCGATCAAATAAATGCGGGGTGACATCACTGAATTTAAAAGTGACGTAGTCCCGAATATTTGAATCTAGATAGCAGGTTTGAAACCAGAAGAGACTTTTTGTTTAAAATAATGTAATTATTCCATTTTCCTTATTATTTATGGGTTTTTTAAAAAGTAATTCGAAAATTTCAAAAACAGATAACAATTTATAGAAATATTCCGAAATATTGATACCAATTTGCAAACTTTCTGCAAATGTATTGAAACATTTTTATACAAGCGTTCAATTGTCGCTATATCTCAAGATTTTACTTCCAACAGTTCTTATTATACTAAGTGTATTTAAAAACATAGCATAGAACTCTAAAAAATAAACGGGGTTTGCTTAATAAAAATATACAGTGTGGCCCACTTAAAAACGGAACACCCCTGTAAAATGGACATTTATTAACGGATCCGAATTTTTTTATAGTGTCGTTTATAATTTTTAGTTTACGTAAATTTAGAGTCCATTACCGTTTTTGTTTAGAAAATAATACAAAATTATCTTGACGATTTTTTTACTTGTTTTCAGAAAAAATATGTTAGGTTATTTCTCAAAATTTTGAAAAATCTTATATGAAAAAACTTTTTGGTTTTATAACCGCCTACCACATTTTAACGAATTTGGACACATTTGATTCTTTTCGAATTTCTAAAATTCGAAAAGACCAGTTAAGATTTACATTTATCAAAGTTTTTTTTTATTAAAAAATGTTTCTAATTGGTAAAAAAATAAAAATAAAAATATATGCTGAAAAAAATGATGCCACACTTGATGCAAAGTGGTTTTAGTTTCAACATTTCAATGCAATATTCGCTTTATATTTATTAGGGATTTAAGTACAAAATGGCATTTCAGCTAAGAAGTGCTATAAATATGAATTTTCAAATCTACTTGCCATTTTACTTTTTTGAAAATATGTCAAATTTGACAGGTATAGCCGATGGACCGAAATTCTTCAACGTCATTTTTTATTATTTTCGAGGCAAAAACTGTTCATAAACTCTAAATTTGCGTAAATTAAATAATAAAAAAATCCCTCACTATTTGGTATTGTTATAATGGGAAAAGTACTTGCTGTGAAAACAGATTTACCAAAAAATAAAATAGTTTTGACCCGCCTTGTATAAATAAAGCAACAAAAGGTGTTTCTTGACACAAAGCATACATTAATTTTCATTTTCAAAATAATATGATTTTTTTAATGTCAAAAACAGCACTAAATTAATTGACTACATTTTTTTTAATTTCGTGGTATATTGTTTTTTTTTTAACGGCACTAAAATATTTGTTAATAATAGCATATTTGGGGGTGGGTTGGCTCAGTGGTTAGAGTCATGACTTTGAGATCGGAAGGTCTCAGGTTCGAATCCCACCGTTGGCCGGGATTTTTTCATTTAATTTAATTATTTAAAATTAATTCTGATGCCTTGGTAGGATTCCCCACTCGACCATTCACTGTTGGGTTCTAATTAACAGTGCTGTTCCTAAAGTGGCGCTGGGAAACAGTAACAAAGCCTACACAGAACACGAGGCTAATGGCCGTAGTAGTCGACGCCGATGACACCAAAATAAAAAAAAAAAAAAAATAGCATATTATTTTTGTGTATATTTTTTTTTATGCAGACTTTAGATAAATTCCGAAAACTGGCAACTAGAGTTGTTATAAACAGGTAAAATTGCTGAACAAGTCATAAAAGGTCGGTTCTTACCGAGAATATGTTCCGTAAACCTGTTCATCTTCTGTTATTTTGAACAAATTATATAGTACATATAAATGCATTAGTTATACGTTAACAAGTGTTCGCTTTTCTCTCCTTTGTTAAACTCTGACACACCTTCATTTAGACTATTAAAATTTGACGCTCTTACTTTTTTTTAATTTTTTAAGCAAAATAATTGTATTTTTACCAATAATTTAAAATTAATTAAATATTTAATATTTTCCGATTTCCTTATTTACGTTATTTTTTATGTTGTTATATCGTTCAGTTATAGTTTGTATTATAGTGTAAGTAAATACTAAAGCTAAAGATGCAAATGTTATTTTTTTTATTTTAGAATTATTTGGTTTGATCTGACTCGTTTCGTTTAATGTATAATAAAATTCAAAAATAACAAAATTATTAGCAAAACCTAATTAAATAAAACAGGAATCGGCTCTTTCCGGTTCTGCGACTAGAGAGCAGTAGAAAGAACCGTTAGATCAGTACCAGTGAACGAATACTGAAAGCAGATTCAGCACGCCTCGTCGTGTCGGTCGGTACGGGTGAACCTAGGGTTGCCATCTGTCCTTTTTTGAACAAGACTGTCCTTTTTTGAAGCAAAATGTCCTTGTCATTTTTTAAAGCTTAAAATGTCCTTTTTACGGCAAATGTCCTCTGTTTTTGAGGTTAACTAACAGCGCACATAAGTTGAGGACCTTTGTTTTTTTAGAAGCTCGGCAAGACGAAGAGGAAGATTTCTTTCGTTCAGCCCGACGACCTTTCTTTTTTTCAGAAGCTCGGTGTAGGAAGAGACGAGTGGGAACATTTCGGCCCGACGACCTTTTTTTTTAGAAGCTTAGTAGGATGAGGATTTGTTTCGTTCAGCTCGACGACCCTTTTTAGAAGATCATTAGAAGGATGGCAACCCTAGGTGAATCTGTTCCATTCTTTAGAAAGAACAGTTCACTGAACAGGGCTACCTAAGAATTCAGAATCTATTCTTAAGAGCTGTTCCATTCTTTTCTTAACAACTCTACTGGCAACAGTGATAATGCGTAGTCTCATTCTAGCTTAGTTTATTGGTGGAAATGCGAAGCTAGAATTCCCCTGTACAATATCAATTTTGCCAGTTTACGGAATTCGTCACATAAAAAATATACACAAAATTCATATTATGTTATTAACAAATATTTTTTAATTTCATATTAGGTTTCCTCTTATAAGATTTATAAATCTAATGATGCAGTCATTTTTTTTATATCCCCAATAAAAGTTTTTGACATCGAAAATAATCATAGTATTCCTTGAAAATTATAAATAATGTATGATAATTTGTGTAAAGATACACTTTTTGACGCTTTATAATCTATATGTATAAACAATTTCAGGTCCGTTAAATAATGTGCATTTTACAGAAGTGTTCCGCCCTTTAGGTGGGTCACACTTTAAGACCATCCATGTTTGTGAATTTAATTAATTTTGTATGTAAAATAGTTGGCAATTGCTGTGAACAATTTTTTTTAAGATTAACACCAAATCAAAAACAGATCAAGGATTATCAACACTAATTTGGAAAGACAATACATGTAGCAACATCAATTTTACCTGATATTGAACTTCTTGTAAAAGAAAGGCAATAGGCAATTCTAAATTTTTATTATTTTATTGTAATATCAGTCGTATCATTTATTCCATGTTTTTTTAAACATCTGGTATATTACCGAACTTTGCGTACAATTTTTGAGTACGTATCCCCAGCCAGGTAGACATTTGAAATAGATTAGCTAAGTATGTACTACTTTTCAAGTAATATTAGAATTTTATTAATTTCAATACATTTATAAATATAATATGGCATTATTTGAATCGTATCACTATTCCTATAAATGAAACTTGCCAAAAAACTGTTTTAATAAAAAAATATAATTGTACATTATACCATTAGTGCGTAACAAATTACAAATAAAATTTATATTGATTTGAAAAAGTCACATTTTAACAATATTTTTGGATATACAGGATGTTACGCTTTTGCCTGGCAAATAAAAATGTACATTTTCTTTTATATAAAGTACCCTGTATTTTATTTAAATTTTAGAATGGTCTGATAATACTGTACTAAACCCTAAAATATTTTTGAAAAATATTACAACAGGGTTGCCAAGCAAATGATTTTTTTGTCAAATTAAAGAATGACGCAGATCCTAAATAAAATTATCATAATTTAGATAATGATTTCAGAATTTAGCAATTTGAAAATTCGGGAACAAATTCCAAAAATTAATTATTAAGACAATTCCCGAACCCCATGGTTAAAAACAAATACTTGGGGGGTAT